GGTGGGGTTCAGGGTTGAAGGCCAAGAATGAATTCTTGAAGACATCTTTGGGGCAGAAAGGTGATTATATTAAAGCACGGGGACAGGACCCCTGGGCGGGAAGAGCCGCACTGGGGTGTGAAGGGTAACTGCTTCTGTACTGTGGGGTTGGGGGGGAAGGTAAGGTCAAGAGGAAGTTTCTTAAAGGGATTTCCATGTGCTAATGAGGATTCCAGATCTCCGAGGCCTAGCTATTGTCAGGCTAAGGTTGTTTTTCCCTCCAGCAAAACATTATCATTAAGATGGTAGGGAGTTCCCATTAGGCTTTTTTTTTTTTTAATTTTTATTTATTTCTGAGAGAGAGAGAGAGAGAGATAGTGTGAGCAGGGGAGGGTCAGAGAGAGAAGGAGACACAGAATCTGAAACAGGCTCCAGGCTCCGAGCTAGCTGTCAGCACAGAGCCTGACGCGGGGTTTCATCATGACCTGAGCCTAAGTCGGACGCCTGGGTGGCTCAGTCGGTTAAGTGCCCATTAGGCTTTTGATGAGATGTTTGTAAACTGATGGAGACTATCCATTTGTTTTCTGTCCTCTCCCTTGTCCTTGGGCAGCCGGGAGTGGCTGACTGTCACACGTCCCCCACCTTCGAGGGGGGCGGGCTGTGCTAGCTTGTGCTTGGCCCTCAGCTCGCCTGATGGCCCCTCATCAGGGGGTCCTGGGGAAAGAATCCTCGAAGACATAAGACATCTTCGTTGCAAAACAGTGGTTTTCTTAAAGCTCGGGGACAGGACCCGGGAAGAGCTGCCCGGGCACCAGGAGGAGAGGGGGGTTATGTACTGGGAGTCGGGGAGGTAAAGTCCAGGGGAAATTTCCAGTGATATTTTCATATGCTGAAGACCCACAGGATCCTGGAGGCCTAGCTGTTGTCAGGCTAAGGTTGTTGTCCTTCTAGCAAAGCGTTATCATGAAGAGATGTTTTACTGGCCAGCCTCAAGTATCTGTCAATGGGCTGCAGGTTATAAGGAAATCTGATTCCATCTGCCATTTCCTTCTGTCTCTGTCCCCACATCACTTAGCACGGAGTTGGCTCAGGTGATATCTGTTGGCTGGAAGGGGAGAGTGTGGCCCAGGTAGGGGTGAGGGGCTGGGGTGGCTGAACTCTGCGGGGAGAAGCCTGGGCCCTCCTGTGGCCAACAACCAGCTCAGGGTTCAGGCCAGGGGTCAGGACTCTGTCTGGCCAAGAAGGTTCCAGAACCCAGGACCGGCTGGTCTGACTCAGCTGTGCTCTCACTCCAGCCTTGTCATTGATTCCTTGACCGGATCATTCGTGTGACCACCCCTTCACCCTACCACTGGCCATCGACAAATGCTCGCCCAGCCCCTCCTCCCACCTGAGCTCCCAGCATAGGGGAGGCAGCAGGCGATAAAGCCATCTGTCCCCTGCCCGCTGGGACTCACTTTCTAGTGAGTTCCGTGGACAGGACCAGTGAACAACTAAGGACGCAGGACCCGAGGCAGGTGGTGGACGTGGGAGGCCCCCCTGGGCCAGGTGGTCACCTTGAGTGCTCAGCGGGGGCAGGTGCCCGGGGGCGGTGGGCAGGACGTACCAAGAGCAGCCAGAGTGTGGGGTGCCAGGGGCGGGGCTGGCTGGGGACCTCTGGAGTTCCGCTGTATTCGGGAGGCAGTACGGTTGACCTTGCAGGTCAGGACGGGCAGACCCCACCTGGGGTCGCCTCTCCCAAGACAAGCCACCTTCGCTCCCTGTGCAGACAGGGACTCTGGGCTGTTGGGTGACTTGCTGGAGGTCACCCAGCTAGAGAGGCGACAGCCCCTCGCCGGCTTGTCCGGGCTCAGGCTGGAGCCCCCACACTGCAGGAGGGCTCCCAGCCGGAGGGCCCTGCGATTCCCATCTGTCTAGACGGGGCTGTTTACAACGAGCCCCAGACGCTGCTAGCCTCCTGTCCCGGCCTGTCCCCCACGGCTACTTCCAGGGGCTGATCCTGGGGGCCCCCCACTTCTGAAACTCCCCCCATCTCCTTTCCAGGCCTTCCAAGAAGGAGGCCACACCCCTCTTTGGGGTCTAGCAGGAAAAGTCACAAGAATAGACAGCCCCTCCCCACCCCTCCCCATCCAGGAGCCCACGGACAAGTATTTGAGAGGCAGGGACCTTCCTCTGGGAACTCACAGCTGCCCTAATGTTACTGCTTTCCCAGAAGCAAAAAGCAACCTTAGCTTGGGGCGCCTGGGTGGCTTAGTCAGTTAAGTGTCCGACTTTCCCTTAGGTCATGGTCTCGCAGTTCGTGGGTTCGAGCCCCGCGTCGAGCTCTGTGCTGACTGACAGCTCAGAGCCTGGAGCCTGTTTCAGCCTGTGACTCCCTCTCTCTCTGACCCTCCCCTGCTCACGATGTTTCTCTCTCTCTCTCTCTCTCCTAGAAATAAATAAAAATATATTAAAAAAAAGTTGCTGATGAGCAATTTAAAAAAAAAAAAAGCAACCTTAGCTTGAGAAGAGCCAGACCTCCAGGATCCCGTGAGTCTTTTTTAACATATGAAAATCCTTTTGGAAACTTCCTTTCTCTCTGCCTCTCCCGACTTAAAAGTATAGAATCAATCACTCCTCACCACCCTAGAGCAGCTCTTTCTGCCCGAGGGTCCTGCCCCCCTGCTTTAATAAAACCACTTTTTTGCACCGAAAACATCTCAAGAATTCTTTGACTGTTTGCCCCCGTCATTCAGGCTGACCCCTTGCGCCCTCTGCTGGAGTCGAGGTGGCCCGAGCCCGCCCTTCCTGGGGAGACACAGAAAACCTGCAAAAGCCAGGGTCTCCGGGCTGTGGGTGGACTGGTGACTGTCTCACTTTTCTACTTCCTTTTTAAAAATATTTATTTATTTTTGAGGGAGAGACAGAGAGTGAGCAGGGGAGGGGCAGAGAAAGAGGGAGACACAGAATCCGAAGCAGCTCCAGGCTCCGAGCTGTCAGCACAGAGCCCGACACGGGGCTCGAACCCACAAACTGAGAGATCATGACCTGAGCTGAAGTCAGATGCTTAACTTGTTGCGGAACCTGGTCTGGATCACCCGGCGGAAGAACCAAGCGGCACTCGGAGATCTTGGAAGACAGGAGGTTATTTTACACCACGGGGCTCAGAGATCATCCTCCAGAGGTCCGAGCCCAGAGCATCAGCAGAGTGAATAACTTATAGCCTGTTACTTTCGCGTTCCTCCTTAATGGGTGCAACAAGCAGGGTGGGAAGAAGAACCCGGAAGGGGGAGCCTTTGATCAGGGACAGGCTTTCCTCACCAGTCCTGCCGGCCGTCTTACAACAGATTTTTCCCTGTCAAACTGACTGAGCCACCAGCTGCATCTCAATGTTCTCCAAAGTTCCCACAGTGAGCCGTGAGGGAGCTGAAGGCAGGCTGAGGGCAAAATACAAACTAGCACCCCCACCCCCGCCCCCGCCCCCGCCAGGTGACAGTCCCCAGGCACTCCCGGTTGCCCTCGGACAAAGGAAAGGAAAGAAAACAAATGGTTAACTGATAGAGATCCGCAGTCATGCAAGACATAGCCTCCATCAGTTTACATGTGTCTTAGTAAATTACAAGAAAAAGGCAATCTTAGCAATAGACTCATCCCCACGAACCCGGGACTCAGTTTCCTGGAACCGCAACATCCCCCCCCCCCCATAGTGATGTGGGGGCAAAGGCGAGAATTTCCTCATAACCTGCAGCCCATGGACAGACACTGGAGGCGAATCCAGAGTAGAACATTCCTCCAGGAGCCCCCGCTGTCCTGGAGTTAATGCCTCCCTAGAGGGAAAACAGCCTCAGCTTGAGCACAGCCAGGCCGCAGGGACCTCGGGAGTGAGTCCTGGTTAGCGCATTAAAGTCCCTCTGGGCTTTGACTTGACCTCCCCCGCGTCACAGGAGCTCACCAGCCCCTCCTCACCACCCCGGTCAGCTCTTTGTGCCCGCGGGTCCTGTCCCCGTGGTAATAAAATCACGTTTTGGCACCAAAGATGTCTTCAAGGATTCTTTCTTGGCTGCCCGGCTCCGGACCCCACAGCATCACCCCGAAGCCTCCTCAGGGAGACAAATCTCTGCAGTTGTAAAACGCTTTGCTGTAACAGGTGCAGAATTAGCACACGCAGAATGTCCTCCTTCCCGCGACAGTCGACCTTATTGTGCGTCTCCATCAGAAAGACAGCTAAAGGGCTCGCGCCCAGAGTGCCTCCTCGGGTCCAGAGCGTGGGTGATTCATCTTCTCGATACTTTCTGCAGGGCTTGAATGTTTTGACAATGACCACAGACTCTCTTTTTTTTTTTAATTGTTCAGAAATCACATAAAGTGACTTGCACTTTGAAAGCTAAAAAGCCTGGCTTCATTTCCCTCCCTCCTGCCCCTCCCTCCCCTCTCCCTGTCCCTCCCTGTCCCTCCCTGTCCCTCCCTATCTCTCCCTCCCCTCTCCCTGTCCCTCCCTGTCCCTCCCTGTCCCTCCCATTTCCTTCTTGAGGAAAGTCCCAGGGCAAACCAGGCGGGAAAGGTCTGCAGGGGGCGGGCAGGGGTGGGGCAACGGGTGGGAGATGAGCTAGAATTCGGGAGGAGGGAGGGTGAGGATGGGGGCTGGGGGCCAGAGCACCCTCCAGGCGGGGGGGGGGGCGAGGCGGGGCGGGGCAGGGTGGAGGCGGTCGTTGGGGGGGGGACTGGGGTGAGGCTGGTTCTGCCAACTTCCCAACGAGTAAGAAACGACAGCACCCTGGTAGTGGATGTCGCGGCGGACAACCCGGCACAGCCAGCGCCTGGGCTCCTGTCACTCCAGCCGCCCTCATGGGCCACGGGGGGCGGGGGGGGGGCAGGGGCGCCAGACCTCAGTCCTGCTTTCCCAGGTGTGCGCTGCTGCAGGTGTGCGGAGGGGGCCCGGGCTGGGGGGGCCTGCGGGTCCAGGAGACCATGGCCCTCACTCTGTCCTCAGCCCGTGGGGCCCCGGGCCGGGGAGCTGGGGCGCCCCCCCCCCCCGCAGGCCGCTATATGAGGCCCACGGGCAGGGACTGGCCCCTGGCGCGCAGCCCGGCCTCCTCCCCCAGCGCCCTCTGCAGAACGGCCCGCAGCGGCTCGCGCTTGCCCGGCTGCCGGCCGGCCGTGAAGTAGATGAGCGGCTTGGCGCTGCCGTGGACGCAGGCCAGGAGGGTGGCGAGCGGGAGGAGCACGGGCCGCAGGAGGCCGAGGAGGGGCCGCAGCCTCCAGGAGAAGGCGAGGGGGAGGCCGCAGAAGAGCAGCAGGAGCCCGGAGCCCAGCGCGACGCCTACAGCCTGGGCCGCGGGCGCCGGGAGCAGCAGGTCACCCAGAGGAAGAGGAGCAGGGTCGCCGCGCAGGCCGTGCGGGCCAGGGACAGCAGCCACGTGGCGCCGGCCGCCTGGTACCACGTGCAGGGCAGCAGGCGGGCGCGGGTGCGCAGCAGGCCGCAGGCGTGGGCCGGCAGCAGCGTGGCCGGCGGGCTCAGGGCCCAGACGAGGCCGCACACGATGCCCGAGGTGTGTCGGGGCCGGCAGCCCGCGTAGCAGGTGGGGAAGAGGTGGGACAGGCAGCGCTCGGCGCTGAAGGCCGCCAGCAGCCCCAGCCCCGCGGAGAAGCCCAAGAAGGTGACGGCGAGGTACAGGCTGTCCTGGGCGCCCAGGGCGGCCTGGGCGATGGAGGAGGCCGTCTGGCAGCAGAGGAGCAGGAAGTCGGCGGCGGCCAGGTGGAGGACGTACACGGAGAAGGGGCCCTTCTTGATGTGGACGCCCAGGTGCCAGAGGACCAGCCCGTTCCCCACCAGCCCTCCGAGGCCGACGGCCAGCGTGAGGTAGGAAAGCGCGCTGCTGAAGGTCCTGTAGAGCCCGAACATCCTGGCTGGCTCGCCGGGCGGGCCCTGGAAGGGGGTGCAGACGGGCACTGGCATCTCCCCGAGGGTGGGCAGGGGGCCTCGGCCCAGGATGCAGGGGTCCCCCCAGGGGGACAGGCCCTGCCCGGGGGCCGCCCCCTCCCCCCAGGGGGACGCCCAGCCCTTCTGGCCCCTGCCAGACACTTGGTAGTGAGATGTGCCCTAACACAGGGCGTGTGACATGATGGGGGCCGGCGGGGGCCGGGGGGGCTGCCCTCCTCCCAGCTAGGCAGCTCGGCTCAATGCACGAAACATGTATGGGGCTCTTGGTGGCAGCAAAGGCCAGCGATGGGCGGGGCAGGTCTCTGCAGGTGAAGGGACACTTGTGTGGCCCACACACGCAGGGGCGTGTCCCCTCCGTCGGGCACCCTGTGCCAGGCTGCCCACTGGGGGCACTGGACCACACCCCTGCTAAGCCTGAGGGGTGCTGGCCGTGGATGGCCCCGAGGACGCTGTCCTGCCTGCACCGGCAGCAGGGGGAAGGAAGGTGCTGTTGTGGGGAGAGCTGGGAGGGGCCGGGAGGGCAGAGGTCAAGCCCTGCTGTGGGTGGGTGGCCCACGTGCTGCTCTGAACCCAGAGCCTGGGGGCGGATCTTGGCGATGGGCTCTGGGGAGTAGCCCATGTGTGCCGCCAGCGGCCTTTGCGGCACCGGGAGGCTGAGGGTCCTGTCCCAGCCCAACCCCTGCCCTGCTGGGGATGGTCTTCAGGGGAGTGGGAGGGGGGCACAGCGAGATCTCTAGAAGCTGCTCCCTGTCCTGTGCCCCTCCCCGAGACCCACAGTGGCCCTGACCTCAGCCCAGAGACCCAGTGAGGGGCCTTCAGAGCCTGGCTCCAGATTAAGGGGGTGGGGGATGGGGAGCAATGAGGGAGAGGAGAGAGCGACTGATGGAGAGACAGAGACAGGAGAGAGACACACAGAGAGATACACAGAGAGACAGAACCCATCTAATCCCCGTCGCACACCGTTGCTGGGCTGTGCCCCTGCCCGGACCCCTGCTCCCCTCTCTGTCCCCTTCCTCCGCCGGCTCTGAGCCCCCCACTGCCCAGCACCTCAAGCACCCTCGCCAGCGCCTTCTCTGTGGTTGTCCTTGTCCCCTGGGGGGTCTCGGCCTTGTCCCCTCCAGCCTGTCCCATGTCCAGACACCCGGCGGCTCATCCTCAGGGCCAGTGGACTGGGCTGGCTTTTGGTGTCGTGGGGTGACCGTGCCGACCCTCTCCTTTCTGGGCTGCGATGTCTCCAAGGCACACCGAGGGGGCTGACCAGACTGCCGCCCAGAGGAGAGCGGTGGGGAGGCCAGGCTGTGCCCCGGGAGGGCAGGGGGCGCTCCCTGGAAGGAGCGGGGGTGGGGTGGGGGGCTCCGTCCTCGCTCTCAGAACGGGCACACCTGTCCAGTCACTCAGAGGGCCAGCTCTTAAATAAGAAGGGATCTGCTTCCCCGTCCCCGTGGCCTGGGGCCCGCCCCCCGGCGTCCTCGGGAAGTGTCTCCTCACCTGGGCCGAGCAGGTGGGTGGATGGAGGGGCACCGAGCTTTCTCGCCAGCCGTTGGGAGCCTCTCCGACCCACTGGGGCGCTGGGTTCACCCCTCGCCTGGGCCCTAAATCCTCTCCTGTCCTCTGGGGCCCAGCTGCCGGCGGGGTGAGGGTGTCTGGGCCAATTCCTTAGAAGTGGGAGGGGTGTACTGCCCGTTCACAGGCATGAGCTCAGACGAAGATGTCCTCACTGTGGGCCGGCCCCCGCCTCCCTCCTCAGCCCATCCTGCACGCGACTGCCCCCCCCTCGCCCCGCCTGGTGCAGGGAGGGGAGGGAGCAGCAGACTGGGGACCCCACGTCCAGCCTGGGCTGGGCCACCCCTTCTGCGTGGCTCCATGGACGTGGGGCTTGCTCCCAGGGTCCTCGGGTTTATTGCAGGGACACAGGTGAGGCAGGAGCCGTGGGCATGTCCTGACCCTTCCTGGCTGCATGCCCTTGAAAGAAGGACCCCCGTGCCTCAGTTTCCCCTCTTCTTGGACCTCTCAGTGCCTGGCTTGAGGCCGGACCCCATGATGAGCAGGTGTCGCTGTGGGTGGTCCGCAGAGGCTGGCCCCCTTCCCAAGGACTCCCCGCCCCCCCATCTACCTGCCAGCCGCAGCCCCTGGGGCCCTAGCCATCAGCAGATTCTCAGGGGCTAAAGGACTTTTCCAGCTTTTGTCCCGCAGAGCCTTGTAGCCTGGAATGTTCTTGAAATTTCCTTTCCGTGGACTGTGTTCTATACTTGCTGGAGACTCCCAGAGCTCCTGGCTCCGTGTCAGAAATTATGTTGTAAAGATGACGTGTGTCCTAGTATTTATTTCTCGAATGGCTTCAGGCTCATTTCTGGGACACAAGGGGTCACTACTGTCTGTGGCTAGGCCACCGGCTCCCCAGCCCCCCGATTTCTGCACTTGGCTTAGAAATGTCACCAGCGTGTGTAACCCTGCCCTTGCGCCCTGCCTGCCCCCTGCAACATGCCGGCACCTCGGGACCCTCCCTGCACCTGCAGCGTGCCCTCCGCCTCCCGGCCACGCTAACGGTCCCCCTCCCTCGTGGGTCCATCCTGGTGTCCTCTGTCCACTGCTGTGAGCACAAGCGCCAGGCTCTCGGGGCAATGGGGACAGCAGCAAACACCGGCCCCAGCCAGTCGCGGGCTGAATGGAGCCGCCAGGAGATTCGTCTGCATCCACCTGGACGGGTGCCCAGATCAGGGAAAGGGGCTTTGCAGAGGTAAGTGAGGGCTTTGAGGGGGTGCATCCTGGGGTACCCGGGTGCATGCTAAGTCCAGTGACAAGTGTCCTAGAAGAGAAAGGAGGAGGCACGGGGAAAGGAGGGGCTCGTGACCCTGGAGGCAGAGGCTGGAGGTCACGGCCACAAGCACAGGGACGCCCAGAGCCCCAGAAGCTGGAGGAGGCAGGAAAGACCCTCCCTGGAGCCTCGGAGCGCAGCCCATGACACCCTGCTTCGGTCAGACTTGCGCCTCCAGACCACGAGCCCACGGGGTCTGCTGCGAGCGGACGTCGGTGGTCCTCTGTGGTGGCTGCCCCGGGGTGGGGGCAGGATCGCTGCTGCGTGGCGCGTGCTCCCCACGGAGCATCCCGTCCTCCCCGGGCCGCCTCCCACACATCCAGTCCGCCCACCCCTCGGATGGGCACACTGAGGCCCAGGAATCTCGGATAGCTGGGCGGCGGGGAGGGTGGGCCATCGGTGTCTGTGTGCAGCTCTCCCCGAAGTGCACAGGCGTTTGGTTCTGAAAGCCTCTGGTTTCCTAGACCCGCGGAATTAGGTTGAAACCAGAAGCACTGAGTGCCCTTTGTTTAGACACATCTTTCCCGAGCGCCTCTCGCAGTTGGGCGCCCTGAGCGCGCCCCTTGAGGGCTCCACTGCATGTGGCAGGCATTGCAGCGTCTGTGATGTAAGCAGGGGGCAAGTTCACCCCGTGCACGGCCAGCCCGGCTCTGAGGGGGCAGGCAGGCCGGCGCCCCGCTGTCCCTCCGTTTCCAAGTCTGTAGGTGCGGGCGATGCTTTGGACACGTCATGGGGACCTGAGGCTGCCAGGTCCCCCGGGGCAGATGGCAACATGGGGACGGAACAGGGTGACCCCATACCCCAGCCGTGGGGCATCCCAGCACCACAGCCCAGCCACTGGCTGGTCTGCAGAAGGGCTCGGTGGTGAGGGTGCATGTTACTGTGGGCCTTATTCTCTAGAACTGTGAGGCCAACACCTCAGGGGACGATTGTCAGAGGAGGGGCCCAGCCGGAAGCATCCGTCAGGTCAGGAGCCAGAGGGCGGGGGACATGTGGGCAAGAGCTTTTATTGTGGTTTTAGCCGGACCAGGCAGGTCAGGCCAAACAGGCTGAGGGTGGGCTGTTTGGATGACTCCAGGGCTCGGGGGCTGTCCCTGCGCTCTGGGACCTGCCCTGGGCTGCTCGGGGGGGCGATGGGGGCCCTGGAGTGGGAGAGCCCAGTCCGGCAGGTGGGGGCGTGGGCTCTGCGTGGGCTGGTTTGCACTTGAAAAGTGTCCTCTGGGCAGTGGGTCAGTGTCCCTCTGGACTGGCCGAGCCTGGGAGGGACACTCCCTGCAGGGTCAGCAAGGCCCCAGAAGCCAGAGCCCCGGAAATGCGTAAAACACAGGGAGCCGGCGAGGAGGAATGGTGGACGCGGGTCTGAGGCTCTGTTTTCTCTGCTCAGGCTCCCCGGGGCTGGAGGGGCAGCCCGGAAACCAGGCCCCTGGGCTGTGCTGCCCCCGCTGTGGCTCCTGGCGGGGGTCTCTGTCTCCCTAAACCGCAGCCACCGTGTGAAGTTTACGTGCCGTCCTGTGTGTTTGATCCTCTGCCCAATGCGAGACCGGACGGGGTGGCTTGTACCACTTCTGTCGTTGCTCTAACAGCTGCAGGAGGAATCTGAAAGGATTAGGCTTTTTCTCTGGAAATACCCCTTCCCTACAAGAACCAGGCTCAGCTTGCGTCTTGGGCACATGGAATGGGGGGGGGGGCAGAGGGCAGGCTTAGGACAGCTGTGCAGAGGCCCCCGCGGCCCACAGAGCCCTGAGAACAAGCCCCCATCCAGTCGGGCTCGTCTTGGGCGCTGAGGGAGGGGTGGGGTGGGGGAGTGTTTTTTCAGCTTGTGAGATAATGAAATAGCTGAACGGTGAGCTTGACCTCATACCTCGAAGACACCCCGACCCTGTGCGTCTCCCTCAGCCCCCCGCCCCCAGGCTGCCCTTCAACAGGCCAGCGTGGGGCCAGCAGCCCTCCCCACACACCCCCACACCCTTTCTGGGAACCACTGGCTGGCGACCCAGGGATGTGGCTGTTCCTGGAGCACCGCCCTGGCCAGAGCAGCTCCGGGGGCTGCTGGGGTCCTGGCTCCGGGACTGGGCTGGGCACTGGCTCTGACCCCCACCCCCCTCCCAGGCTGCGTCAGGACACGGCTGTGGCCTGGCTTTGCCTG